AGGCAGGAGAGAAAGACAGGTGGGGCTGGCAGGCAGAAAGAAGAAATAGAAGAAGAAATCTGGGAGGAGGAGGAAAAGGAAGCAGCCAGAGAAGGAGGAGGACATCAGGGGCCAGCCACCCAGCTATCCAGCAAACCATGAATAAGAGTAAGATTTACAGAAGTAAGAGAACAGGAAAAGCCCTGAGGCAAAAAGTAAACGGGAAGATTTAAGTTAAGGAAAGCTGGCAAAAAAAAAAATTAACAAAACTAAGGCCAGGCATTCATAATTAAGAATAAGCTTCCGTATTTATTTGGGAGCTGGGTGGGGGGCCCCCCAAAGAGTAAAAAAAAAGACAACATTCTATTATACAAAAATAATACTAACACATGTATTAAATACTCAGACATATTGGAATGCTACACATGCTCTTGTCTTGTGGGTTTTATTCAAGTATTTTAGTTTATATATTATATAGCAAGGCTGGAAGTTGAGCAGAATATTTGTCTCATTATTTTTTTAAGCGAACTTACAAACTAGCAAGTTTCCCCAAAGCATTTTCATGGTCTCCTCCACCTCTTTCTGTAATCTGTCTTCTGACTTACAGACTGCACACCCTCTAAACACTCCCACCCCACATGTATTTCCTCTTCCACTTTCATGCTCAAGTAGAGTAAGGCAGAAAAGACGACTTCCACTATTTACTTAGTGACTGACTTACAGCGCCTCTCGTCCTGCCCGTCTGCCAAGCTTGACTTCACTTGCCCAGCTGAAATAATGGGCTGTTGCCCTTAACAACCCGCGGACTGCACGGCCCTGCAGTGTCCGTAAAATCTCGCTCGCTTGCCTGCACCCTCGTAGTTTTAGAGTGTAAAATGAGAACACAAACTGGACCTGGGAGGGAAGCCTTTCAGAAGCTTCCTGGCTGCAGCCCGCCAGTTACATCTCCTCTCGTTCACCCTCATTGGTGGCAGAGTGCTTATTCCAGAGAGTCCCATATCACTATCACATGTGTTCTGCTACCACCCCCACCCTGCTCTGAATCAGTACCTTAAGAAGGGTCAGTGGGGCCTTTATTAAAGACGTAGGGTTGGGGAAGGCAGACAGGGCACTTTCTTTCTTTCCATCTGCATTATTTCCTTCTGCTGTTACTATGAGTATGTACCATATAATGTTTTTTTCACTAACCTCCAAAGCTCTCTTGTAGTCTCCCAGGTGAAAAGCACAGTATCCAATCCACAAATTAGTGTCATCTTCTTGCTCCCCAACATGACGTTTGAACTTCACATTACAATGTCATGAGAAAAAAAAAGATTTTAATAGTAAATGCTTTGGGTTTTTTTTTAAGGTATGCTGGGTGACTGATAAACAATCAAAATGCTAAATAACAGAAGCCGGACACTATGCGGTTCAATGACGCCTCCACAGACAGGAGTCCTCACAGTCACAGCTGTCACAGAAGGCTTTTTTTTTTTTCCAGACATGCTGGATTTGTTTTTCTGTGTTTGCTAGCGCCTTATTCCAGAAAGTATGTGAGTTATCTAATAATTCTGGGTGATGTTCAAGAATTATGTAAAACATTTGAAACCAGCCAGGTGATGGTGCACACCTTTGATCCCAGCACTCAGGAGGCAGAGGAAGGCAGATCTCTGTGAGTTCGAGGACAGCCTGGCTACAAAGTGAGATCCAGGACAGCCAGGGCTACCAGAGGGACTCTGCCTCAAAATACAACAACAACAACAACAACAACAAAACATTTAAAGCCAAACACCTGCAGGTTAAAGGTCAAGCAATGGTTCTAAGATCACACAGCCAGTCCCTGTCCCTGTGGAAACAGGGACGTCGATGCATGTCTGCCTCTAAAGCCCAGGTCCCACCACTGACTTTTGCTGCATTCCATATCACACTTCCATCTTCTCCTGTTAGCACACATGTATATGTATCAATACTGAAGGGCTTAAACTCTCCCACCTTCAAAACGGAATTTAGGTCCCAGTTCTCTGAGAAGGACAAACAGGTGTCTTTTCCATCAAAGGACCATTTATCCACAAGGTCCTTACATTCAGGGTCGAGGGAGAGAACGGACACAGAGGGTCTAAGTCAGCCTCACAGGGTCTCAAGGACAAACCCGGCAGCCCTCTGAGTCACGGCCAAGTTTGGGCAGAGATGTCCAAAAACCATAAAACTAAACCTCAGCCAATTAGACATACACTAGCCAATTAGGTATCTGACCCTGAACACCCCCTTAGCTGTGCTTCAAGGAGCCTGCACACCCTCTCAGGATCCTCACCATTCTGTACAGGTGAGCAGCCCCCCATACATGTGGTATAATAAACACTCTTTGTTCTTGCACACTATTTGAGTCTGGGGTCTTCCGTCAGTGTTTCCTCAGACCCTACACTAGTTCATAGCCCTTCTCTGGAGACAAGCCACGAAATCATTCTATTATCCCATCAGGCTAACTGACAGACCAGATGAGTTAAAGGTGTACAGACGATAGCCTTGTTTGTATCCACTACAGAAATGTAAGAATTCTTCACCTAACCAAACAGAAGTTTTACTTCAGAGGAAAGGACTGAGAAGGATTCTCAAGTACCACGAGTCCTACTTTCATCCCCATTGCTGTGATAAAGACCCTGAGAAAAGAACTCAGGGAGCTGGCCATGGTGGTACATGCTTAGCGGGGTGTGGTGGCTCACGTCCCTAATCCCAGCACTTAGGAGGCAGAAGCAGGTGCAACTCTGTGAGCTCAAGACCAGCCTGGTCTATCATTTAAGGCCAGCCTGGTCCATATAGAGACTTTGTCCCAAAAAACAACTCAAAACACAGTGCTGCTTTGGTTGTAAAGTGAATTCCTTAGACAGAGGTAATGCTATATAGAATTGCAAGCAGGCCTGACTTCAAATGTCTGCCCTGATTTCCCTCAGTATTATAAGCCAAAAAAAAAAATCCCTCCTCCCCTAAGCTTTTTTGTTTTGTATTATTTTGGTTTTGCTTTGCTTTCATCTTTAATCAGCCTGGTATTTTTATTTTTAATTATGTGTACATATGCATTTGCTGCTCTTCTAGAGGACCTGAGTTCAGTTCCCACCACCCTCATAAGAGCTTACAACTTTCTGTAACTCTAGCTCCATGGGATCCAGTTCTTCTGGCCTCTGTGGGCACCTGCATTCGGGTGCACAAACTGACATGCAAAGCCAGGCCATGGTGGCGCAGGCCTTTAATCCCAGCACTCGGGAGGCAGAGCCAGGAGGGATCTCTGTGAGTTCAAGGCCAGCCTGGGCTACAGAGCAAGATCCAGGACAGGTGCAAAGCTACACAGAGAAACTGTCTTGGGGGAGGGGGACAACAACAAACCCAACTGACATCCAGACACAAACAACTACACATCATTTTTTAAATTCTTAAAAAAAATAGTCACGTAGCTGAGTAGGTATTGCACACCTTTAATTCCATCATTTGGGAGGCCGATGCAGGTGGGTCTCTGAGTTTGAGGCCAGTCTGGGCTACAGAGTGAGTTCCAGGAAAGGCTCCAAAGCTACACAGAGAAACCCTGTCTCAAAAAACAAAAAATGGGGCTGGAGAGATGGCTCAGAGGTTAAGAGCACCGACTGCTCTTCCAGAGGTCCTGAGTTCAATTCCCAGCACCACATGGTGGCTCACAACCATCTGTAATGAGATCTGGTGCCCTCTTCTGTACACATAATAAATAAATAAATCTTTAAAAAAAAAAAATTTAAATTATTTAAAAAAAATAGACATGTAGGGAGTAGGTAGTGCACACCTTTAATTTCACCATTTGGGAGGCAGAGGCATGTGGATCTCTGAGTTTGAGGCCAGCCTGGCCTACAGAGAGAGTGAGTTCCAGGACAGCCAAGGCTGTGACACAGACAAACCCTGTCTCGAAAAACAAAAGCAAACAAACAAAAGGTGAGATCTACAAGCTGGGGCTGGGCCGGGGTGCAGATCTGTTGCAGAATGCTTACTTGAGACCCTGAGTTTGATCCCCAGCACTGGTTCCAAAAAAAGATGACACTGACATAGAGTTGAAATGTCCTATGGGTTTACAATATTTTTAAAATAAACATGGAATAATCAATCTTTTAAGCAAAATATTATAATAGGAAGAAGTTATAAATCACTCAGGAATCATGGTAAACAATATGTGAATTGACGCTGTATTATGTGTAATGCTGTATTTTTAGGTTAGATTCACCATCTGTGGGACTAGGGAAAAAAGTTAGTTTTAAGCATATGAGTGTTTTGTCTTCATCTGTTTCTATGCCCCGTATGTGTTCCTGGTGCTGAAGGAGGTCAGAAGGTCTTAGATGCCCTGACGATGGAGTTACTAAGGGTTGTGAGCAGACATGTGGGTGCTGGGAATCAAGGTCCTCTGGAAAAGCAGCCACTGGTCTTAACTGTCAAGCCATCTCTCTAGTCCAAAATTTTTTATATCTTATCAGGCTTATAGTTAACTTGGAATCTGGAATATGTGCCTGGCTATATTTACTTGGATTCCTCAGCATGTACCCACCTATTCCAATAGCATGGTAACCAGCATTCACCCCTACATTCATCAGACTTGAAAGCAAACCTTCTTTGGACATTACCTCCAATAGGGTGATGGCGCCAGTGAAATCTCTTTGCGAAAGTAGGTCCTCTAGTTTTGGAATCTTCCTCCCTTTCTTCTTTCTTTTGTCAGTGTGTGGTGATTCCCCGCCCACAGCGGGTTTGGCCCTTGAAAGCATCTGAAAAACAAACAGCAAAGACCATTCAACTCAAAAGTCTTTTTGTTGTTGTTGTTGTTGTTTTTTCAAGACTGGATTTCTCTGTCAAAAGTCATTTTTAAACTTAGAGTAACAGTTCTGTGATTTACAAGTCAAATCCTTACCAACAAACACTAGTAAGTCGATTTTTTTTGTTTATTTTTTGTTTTATCGAGATAGGGTTTCTCTATGTAACAGTTCTACTGTCCTGGAACTCGCTTTGTAGACCAGGCTGGCCTGGAACTCAGATCCACCTGCCTCTGCTTCCCGAGTGCTGGTATTAAAGGCGGTCCTGGCCTATTCAGAGTCTTTTTTTAACGCGCATTTTATTGAAAGAGCCATCGCCTTCCCACTGAAGGGGAACCGAACAGCTACTTCCAATTACTTTATCCACAAGAGACGAACATTTCACGCAGCTTCTACCATTTCAGTCTTCCCTGGCTCTTTTTCCAGTCCACAAGCAGATCTGGTGTCGGGAAATGGAGAAGCAGGAGGGAAGACAGCATCAAGGTAATTTTCTTTGCATCCCTCGCTATTCCCGGTGGAAACACTGGAGGGATAAAAGGATCGCCCTCTGGAGACACACCTAGATTCTACCCAATAGTGTGTTGGGAGTTATACGCCCGGGTAAAAACCTATTTGAAGTCTCTCCCCCCCCCCCTTATTATTCAGAGCCACTAACCATCTTGGCGTCGGTCTTGTGAGCCCCTGCCGCAGATACTTAAGCAAAGCCTGGATGCCTCGGCGACTTGCCACATCTACACAGCCAGCTCCGTTTCCACGGCAACGCCGCCAGGAGGCTGGTCCTTCGATGACAAGAGCTCGCCCGAGAATCAGTGCCCGCAGCTTCTTGGTTCCATGTGTTTCCGCGGCTGGAAGAGAAGACGTTCCTATCAAGGGAGCAGATCCTTGTTTGTGCTGAGGACCAAAATGTGCTTGTGTCTCGGCTTAGGAATGTAGTTTAGGAAAAGGCAACTTAGAATTACTATTGTAATTAGGAAGTGTATTTCAGATGCAAGTTTCTTGGGAAGGTAATTTTCAAGGACCACTTCCGTTTGGTCTAGGTTGAATTCCACAGCTGCCCGCTGTCTGGCATGTTGTCTCTGTTTTCCCCTGGTATCCGCTGAACGAAATGATAGTTTGGAGGCAGAAGTGACACCGAAACATTTCCTCAAGACACTGTTAATCCCAAAGATGGGAGGGGAGAGACCACCGGCCCACGTCATGGTCAAATTAATGAAAGCAAGCAGTTAATTAAAGCAAGTTTATTCGTGTACACAGGCAGTACCTCCCCCTAGGGCGAGCTTCGAGAGGTCAGCATTAGATGTGAGGAAATGTTTTTTATACAGCTCAGGAGTAGGGGTTTCCAAATGGGAGATGTGGCGGGCAAAATAGGCAGGGTTACAGGACACAGAACATAAGCATAAAAAGTAATAACAAATTAGTCTTAACAAACTCCTGAAACAGACCCGGTTGCAAGGTGGGCACAACAACAGGTAGTCATAACAAGGTGGTCATATAATCTTTTGAAACAAAGGTAAGGTTGCAAGACAGTTATAAACAACTTTGAAACAAAGACATGATTGCCATTTCGGAAACAGGCAGTACCGAACCATTTGTAGTTAAGGTTACAAGTGTAGCATAGCCCAATCTTTGAGAAACAGAGGTTTAATGATAAACAGGAACCTAGTTTATCTTTACTATAAAATGACTTTTAAGCCTAAGAAGGAGGCAGGCTGGTCCTTCAACACACTTACACACAATTAGAAACTGTAAAAATTTGTGTTGACTGGACTTACTCCAGAACACAGTGTTAACATGACTGCAAAAATATTTTTAAATGAGAGTCATGAACTGTTGGAGCCAGAAGGGACCTTAGAGGATATCCAAACTTTCAGAGTGAGCAGATGCACTAAAGACCTAAAATCTTATTAACAACTTGAGTGACATGGCATAATCATTACATAGTTAATTACTTTTTATACCACCCTGAACAGCCCTATAGAGACTCACATATACCATAAATGTGTAGAAGGCTAGTCGGTGTGACTTCTGAGATTCCTTTGCATAGTCATCTGTATCGGGCCTTAGCTTCTCCTCTCATGTCTGCCATCTGTTAGAGAGTGGATGACTTCTGTCTTTATGTATACACGTCTGTATATACACAAACCAATTGGTCTACAGAGATACATACCAAAAGGCAAATATATACACTTCAAAGATGCACAGCTTTACCAGCTCTCCACTTAAATTCTTTTGTTTCCAAATTTCAGAAATATTCCTATTTTCAGTAAAAAAAAATCAACAAAAGTATTTGTAGCTACTTTCCATGGTGTGATATAGATGACAGACACTTTAGTCAAAATAGTCATATAATTATAAAATTGATCTTTTAAAAGTACAACTCAGAAAAAAAAGTACAACTCAGTAGACTTTAGTGTATTCATAATACTGTGTGTCTTTAACAGTCTTAAGTTCTAGATCATTCCAGGAAGGAACCCTACAATGCAAGACAATCATTCATCATTTTGCTCTCTCCCTAGCTTCTGTCAAGAACTCATTTATTTTCTTCCCCTGTGGATTTGCCTATTCTGAACATTTAATAGAGATGAACTCATACAAGGAAGAACCATATTTTATATGCCTAAATATTGAAAATTTCAAAACCAACCCAGCGAAATTATTGACTAAAATGTTTTAGCATTCTACCTTGATGAAAAATAAAACAACATGTAGACGTTTGAACTCTAGTTTAGAATTCTCAGAATTTTTTGAAGGGTGTAGCAGTGCACAAAGGCCTAACCCCAGTTCTCAGCCTTCAACCCCACTCACCCCAGGCTTTAATCTGCATTGAAAGGGCTTTATGCATCACTGTGGAACCTCAGCCTACAAAGTCAAGCTTTGGGCCCCCATTTATCCTAGAATCTGTCAGTCTCACGAACCTAAAGGGAAAACACCCAGAGCAGAGCCCTACTCAAGTGTGCAAACAGACTAGAAGGTGCATGGGTACAGATTCACTACTCTAAGCATCGTGGAATAAAGGAGGGAGTACAAGAACTGAGCAATGCAGATCCTTTCTATCTAGTTTAGCACACAGTCAGTGTAGAACGCAGAGCAGAGGGCTCTCTTACTATGGGCCAAAGTCAGTGTTACTGATAATGCTCTATGCCGCCATGTTGAATTTACTAAATCAGTTGAAATGATCTCTGATTTCTGAAAGTTTGTGGTATTGCTTTACATGTCTGAATCCTTAGAGGCTGTTTGAGATATGCTGTGGTTACAAGGGACAGACTATGGCCCTGAGTATACTTGAGAAGTTCTTCCCAACAACAGCTGTAGGAATTATAACACCTGGTGTTATAGAACATGTGATAACGTCAGCACAGGAGTGCTGCCTGCAGGCCAAGAGGCAGAGGCAGGACTTGCAGCTTTATTTATTTATTTTTATTTTTTCAAGACAGGGTTTCTCTGTGTAGTTTTGGTTCCTGTCCTGGATCTCACTCTGTAGACCAGGTTGGCCTCCAACTCACAGAGATCCGCCTGTCTCTGCCTCCCAAGTGTTGGAATTAAAGGCATGTGCCACTACACCCGGCATGCAGCTTTATTATAGTTTGGAGAGAACAGCAGCTTTGAAGGATCTGTAGTACATATCTGGATTGTAGTGACAGTTGTATGACCATGTAACTTTACCCAAACCATGGAAGTGTACAATTAAAGTGAGTATGAGTATAGCTTATGCTATGTAAAGGGCATCCCATGAAATATGATTTTGATTGTTTAAATGGTAATCTAGTTTTGAACTCATGACAGTATCCTCTTAAAGAATAATTATTTTGATTGTATGTGTACATGCCTGTGTTTATCTATGCAGGTGCCCACAGAAGTCAGAAGAGGGTGGTGGATTCCCTAGATCTGGGATTACAGGCAGTTGTGAACTGCGTGACGTGTGTGCTGGGAACTGGACTCTGCTCCTCTGCAGGAACACCAACTGTTCCTCACTGGTGAGCCATCTCTCCAGCCCTTCAACGGGGTGTTCTTGAAACTGTCTCTCCAATTTTACCCTGATGCATACTGATAACCACTAACAGTCCTTGGAAATGACTGTGGAAATTATGCCTCTGTCCATAACAGAGCCCTGGACTGCTGAGGAAATGTTAAGATATTAAAGAGCTTAAGATATTAAATGAGGCCTGGAAGGGAGGAGAGCCCCAGCTCAGCGTTACATAATGTGCCTAGCATGTGTGAGACTCTGAGTTCGATTCCCAGCACAGAAAAAAAGAAAGTCTGCACAATTCTCAGTAAGGTTGGTTTTCCTTAAAGGGAAAAAGAAAATCTCTTGGGAAAACAACAACAACAAATCTACATGTTTCCTCTACAGACCACAGTAATTTGTGGTGGTATTCTAATTGTACTGAAATGTGATTTTGATTGTATGTTAATAAATAAAGTTCCCCGGGGGTCAGAGCTATTAGAGCCATAGCAAGAGTGTGGCGGTGGTGGCGCATGCCTTTAATCCCATAGATCTCTGTGTGTTCAGGGATTCAGCCAGCATTGGAGACATATGCCTTTAAGATCTGGGGGACTGTACATACAGACAGTGACGGGGCAGTAACATGTTTGGGTTTACAACAAATGAGAAGGCAGAACAAAAGACTATGAAATGACTTACACACAGGAAATAGCTGTCTTTCGGGAAGCTAGGAACTCACAGGAGGAAGGGTAAGATTTTAGCTCTGAGCTCTGACCTCTCGGCTTTCTCTTTTACATTGGTTCTGTGTTTCTTATTTAATAAGACGGTTGGTTACATCTACAGTAATTTTATTAGAGTGCTGTTAGTGTTTTTCATTTTTGTTCACTAGATTTATTAATATTCATCAGGAAGAGTGCTTGGGGGGCTGGGAAGAAGGCTCAGTTGTTAAAGTCCTTGGCCCACAAGAATGAGGACCTGAGTTTGCATCCCCAGCATCTACATGAAGGACCTGGTGTAGTGGCTCACCTCTGTAACCCAAGTGCCAGGGAGGCAGAGAAAGGCAAATTGCTAATCTCTCTAGCCAAATTGGTGAGCTCTGGGTTCAGGAATAGACAATGTGTATGCTGAGATCAGAAGACAATTTTATGGAGCTGATTCTTTCACCTTTCTGTGGACTCTAGGGACTAGACTCAGGTTGTGAGAGCATCATTCTTTTTTTTCTGGATGAATCATAGCCCATCTTGTGAACAGGCACATTTTGCTTAAGTCTTCATATTATTTAAAGCAGGAGATGTCTAGGAAGTTTTCAGAGCTTGGTGTTCCCATTAGCCTCCTCCTTAGTGTCCTGGAGTCTGCAGCCCAGCATCCATTCTGTTCTACTTTGTGTTAGATTCAAGGGAGATGCCAAACCATGAACAGTTCTCAGCCCATGGGTCGCAACCATTGGAAAATACATATTGCTGATGATCTTAGGAACTAAGACACCACTCAGTAGCAAAAATACCATTATGAAGTAGCAATAAAAATAATTTTGTGGTTGGGGGTCACAACAACATGGGAGCTGTATTAAATGGTGGCGGCATGAGGAAGGCTGAGAACCTGCGGCCTAGATGTAGTATGCTGCTGGCCCTGTCTTCGCCTGCAAGGCCCATTCCTATTTTGACTTTTATATGTTGGTTTTTTATTTTCTCTCTGTCTTATCACATGAAAAACACTGGTTTTATGAGTAATCAGGAAAACGTGCATTAAATCACAAGGCAACACTGCTAGACACCCCCAGAGTAGCTCCAGTCAAGCTGTGAGCCTAGGCTGCTGTCACATGATGTCTTGACTCAGGCTCTGAGTTCCCTTTCCAAGTGGTTCACCCACATACTGGGCAATTTAACACTGGCTGTCAGTGGGAGAGCTTAGTTGCTCCTCACATGGACCTCTCCAAAGGATGACTAGAATGTCTACATCATTTGAGAGTTGGCTTGCCAGAGGTAGAAAGCAAAGAGGAAGCCACAAGGTTTTCACAATCTAATTTAGGAGTCACAGTGTCGTTTCAGATTACTCAGGTCACACAGCCAACCACAGACAAAACTCCCCAGGAGCCAACTGGCTATTTGCTCTAGGCACCAAGTTAATCCTACTCAAGGATGCAAACATGTCCATTTCTTCTGCTTTCAAACTTGATGCCTAGTAAGAAGTGTTACTGAAGTGAGGGTCTGGTAGTTCGAATGTAATTGGCCCCCATAAGCTCATAGGGAGTGGCACTATTAGAAGGTGTGGCCTTGTGGAAGTAGGTGTGGCCTTCTTGGAGGAAGTGTGTCCTGTGGGGTAAGCTTTGAGGTCTCCTATGCTCAAGATACCACCTGCTTTCACAGTTCACTTCCTGTTGCCTGTGGATCAAAGAGGTAGAATCCTCCAGCACCATGTCTGCCTGCACGATGCCACGCTCTCCACCATGATGATAATGGACTGAACCTCTGACACTGTAAGCCGCGACCTGAATTAAATGTTTTCCTTTATAAGAGTTGCTGTGGTCATGGCGTCTCTTCACAATAGAAACCCTAACTAAGACAGGGCACTCAGCCTGAAGTTCCTCATTTCAACTCCAACAACAAAGTCTAAATACATTCTGAGAGAATGACTGGCCTTTCTCTTCAATGTGGTTAGATCTTCCTTCTCTGTTTAACAGTGTCATCCTCTCCTACTTCACTTCTTCCCAGGAATCTGGCCCTTGCACAGGTTCAAGCTGGGGGAAATCCCTGGCTGTCTCCTGCTGTCTAGTCAGGTGACTAATGCCTGTCTCCACTCGTATCACCTGTTTGTATGGACTTCGGACTTCCATCCGACTCACCTCAGACATATGTGTACTTTTAAGTTCTGTGACTTAGCATAGCTGACTCATTATATTCTCTCTGTCTGTGTGTTGCTTCCTTTTGATTGGGAGTTAACTGATTCCTATTGCTTGCTCTACCAGTGTGCCCTTCCAACTTCAGCTTTGAGCTCTCCACGGATTTGTCTTCGAAACTCTCAGCTATGCCAAGGTCGTCCAGTAAAACATTAAACAAAGAAGAAAAACAACCAAAAACCCAAGAATAATAGTTATAAGGTTTTTTGGTTTTTTTTTTTTTTGTTTTTTTTTTGTTTTTTTTTTTTTTTTTTGGACCCCAATAGGCCTCTCCACTGACGCAGCAATCCAAATCAGACCAAATCAGACTGAATTAGAAAAAGCCCAGTTTAATGGGTAAAGCATTCCCGGGTGATTCTCCGGCCCCCGAAGAGAAAAGACAGGACAAGAGCCTGGAAAACCATGTGTATGTTTTCTGGGATGCAGATTATTTACCCTATGCGAGTGGTCTTGAGCCTCTCTGGGGGAGGAGCTGTGTTTGGTGGGCTTTGAAGGGGGCAGGTTTGGGGAAAGAGATGGGGGAGGGGAGTTGAGGTAGATCTTCTACCAGAACATTCCAGACTCTTTTAGTATATAGATGCCAGAGTGCCAGGGGTTGAGGTGGAGCTCCCACGTAAACATTCCAGACTCTTTGGGTATAGGGTCGCCAGTTCAAGTCTGGCTACTTCCTGTGGGCATAGGATGATGTGGGGAAAAGGAGTCAGGAGTTGGTGAGCTCACATTAAGCAGGAGGTATGAGTGGAGGAGCATCCGGTTGTCATCCTGGAGACCTCAGGCATCTGTTTCTTGAGGAAGCAAAGAAGGCAAGTTTCTAGGGAAAAATAGATCATTAACATCTGCCCTAGCTGGACTGCAAAGATAAATGCATAAAGCAGAAGAGCAGATAGGCCCTTCATCGGGACATCTGGGAAAAGTCCCAGCTGCTGGACAGACGATGTTTCCTGAAGAGCTGCCCGCTTGAGCCTGGAGAGATGGTACCAGCATGGATGTCCCAGGAGCTTGGCAGCCGAGGGGGTGGTGAGGATCACAGTATAAGGTCCTGTCCATCGGGGCTCAGGAGACTTAGGAGCTAGCTGTTTGAGGAGTACTCTGTCTCCTGGGGAGAGTGGGGCAGGCTCAGGGGCAGTTGGGTCTGTTGGTGTTGGAGCAGGGAGACAGCTGTGGCCCGGAGGCAGGTAAGGGCAATGGGGAGAAGGAAGGGCCAAGATAACCTGAGTTCAATGGAGAGCTTGGTGAGCTGTTTGCCGAGTCCATTGGCCTTCTCAACCTTTCCCGAGGATTGTGAGCGATAGGGAATGTGGAGCTTCCAGGAGATGTTGAGAGCATCTGATGTGAGTTCCATGAGCCTGCCAATCCTTGCCAGGTTGGTGTCCTGGAAGCTGGTGCAGAGGCTGACATATCTGGAGGCCCCCTGTGAGTGGACCTGTGAAATACTCAGCAGAGTGTGGGGGCCAAGGCTGAGTGTGGCTGCAAAGCAGCTGAGAACATTGCGACCAAGCAGAGGTGCAGGGTGAGTGGGTATGACCAGAAAAGAGTGTGAGAAGAATCGCCCTGCAAGAATGCAGGGAAGTGTCAGGGTCTTAAGTGGGAAGGAAGGGATCCTGTCTACCCCCATGACAGAAATTGGTGAGGGAACCGTAGGACCTGAGTGAGATGTCAAAACAGAATAGGTAGCTCCCATGTCCAAAAGAAAGTCAATGGACTTACCCGCTACCTGCAGCGTCACCCTAGGCTCGGAGAGGGCAATGGGAGTCACCAAGTCTAGGCCGTGTGAGTCCTCCGCCAGGCTTAGGAGTTCAAAGGCCAGAAGAGTCTCAGTTGGCAATGTTGTTGAGGCTGGACCTCTGTGGCATGGCATAGAGGACAACCCTGAACAGGGGCATTCCGATTTCCAGTGCCCAGGCCGTTGCAGCTGGCTGCATTTCTGGTGGAGTCAACTTGGGCTGAGCTCCGGCAGGATGGAGCCATGTGCCTGACTTCCCTTGTCCCCCTTCTGGGGATTCTGGTGACCTCAAGGCAGTTGCTAAGGCTTGGGCTTGGAGTATATTCTGTTGCAGCCTTGTCTGTTGGGTTGACTCTGCTGTCGTTGCTGAGCATTAAAAACTTTAAAAGCCATTTTCACTAATTCCTGAAGGTAAGTTTGCGGACTCTTCTCAGCCTTTTAAAATTTCTTTCTAATATCTGATGCTGACTGAGAAATGAAATGGGTGGCCAGGACCATGGTTACTGCTGGGGAGGCTGGGTCAAGACGAGTATAAGAAGAAACTGGGTGTGGTGGTATTGTGTTCCCCAAAATATTGTGTACCTTAATAAATTTATCTGGGGTCAGAGAACAGACAGCCACTAGATACAAAGGCTAGAAAATGGTGGCACTCACACCTTTAATCCTAGCATTCCAGAGATAGAAATCCCTCTGGATCTCCGTGAGTTCAAGGCCACATTGGAAACAGCCAAGCATGGTGACACGCCTTTAATCCCAGAAAGCCAGCCTTTAATCCCAGGGAGTGGTGGTAGAAAGTAGAAAGATATATAAGGCGTGAGGACCAGAAACTAGAGGCTTTTTGGCTGGTTAGGCATTTGGCTGGTTAAGCATGTGGCTGGTTAAGCATTCAGGCTTTTAAGCAGCAGTTCAGCTGAGAGCCATTGGGATGAGGACACAGAAGCTTCCAGTCTGAGGAGACAAGACCAGCTGAGGATCCGACGAGGTGAGATAGCTGTGGCTTGTTGTGTCTCTCTGATCTACCAGCATGGACCCCAATAACTGGCCTCAGGTTTGATTTTATTAATAAGAACCTTTAAGATTCATGCTACA